GAGTACCGCAATTCTTTTACTCAACGGATTATCAGTTTTTGGAATACCAACAGCACTATAAATTCGAGTTCTCCTAAGTCGTTTAGGAGCAAAGTGAGAAAAGATATGATTTCACAAGGGTGGTTCTGAGAACAGAAACTAAATTATTACACTTTGAAAGGCTGAGTGGCGATTAAGTGATTTTTGTATTCCTAGCTGTGTGTTAAGTCGCCTTAGATGATACGATGTGTTACTATCAAGATGTATATTTCTTACCTAGTTGCACCCCATTGCTAATCCTTGCTTGCGGCTGTTGGAGCTGGGTCTCAGTAAAGTTGGCGGACCTACTAAGTTGGTATCCGGAGTCCTATTTGATGCGTGGATGGACTTGCAGTGTTGGCGGCCACTGCCCTTCTGCCCTGATTACCCCCTCTACACCGCAGCACTTTATTCTGTCTTCCCACTGAGTTCTATGTTGATTATCGGAGATTTTTTTCTGTGTTTCCTTTTTTATGTGTGCCACTGTCAATAGAATGCCGATAATAAATCATAAATCATAAATCATAAAAAGCTTTGGTTGAAGGCGCGGCACTTCGATGCTCTCGGGTTTCTCACTCCGCTTGTTCTACCTGGAAACAATTTTTTACCTAATTTATGGCCAAAATGTATGGTTTGCATTCTGCTCTATCTATTCAGATGCTTCTCAGTGGCAGTCGATCTGTGAACAGAAGCAACATTCCCGAATCCATTCAGCAAGATTGGTTGCCACGCACGTCCAGGGTCAACTTTCCAACTGCACATTTTCGTCAACGAGGAATTTTGTTGCGTGTACTTTTTTGAGATCAATCAAGACCTCTCACAATCTTTTGACGCATTCTACGCCTTTTAGTCACCCTCCCACTCATACGTAGTTCTTCACTTTCTTTTCCCAATATTAAATACAATTTGATTCATCTTTTTTTGTGGAGGTCTTTTCTTTTCACTGCCGGTACTACAACACATACAATTTCAGCACGAATTCAGGCGACACTACGTACAACAAAGCAAAAAATAAAAAACAGATGACTACGCAGAGCCCCAGTCAATGGACGAATCGCCCACAACTCGGAACAATTCCATGTCTACTGGGCGGGCGGTTGTCGTGGGCGTCTTGCACCTTCATAAGGCGCTATAAAGGCGCTATCAACTGAAGAAGATACTACGCAACTCCTGCTGAGGTTTTCTAGGTAAGCGCCTTTTACACTTCTTGTTTCACTTGCCCTCAATAACTTTATTAAGCAATAAATATGACAAAATCTAGCTAAGGTAATGGTAAAGAGAATATGCGTCCAACTGAGATGATCATAACTATTAGTACTTTTACATTCCCAATATCTCGTCATGGCTGCAGAAAGAAGGGAGAGTGATCTGCTCGCGACTCGCCGACGCCCCCCCCCCTTGACCACCGCAATGCCCAACTTTCATTTCTAAAGGCTTCCAAGTGTGGCAGTTGTTACTCCATTTCGAACGGTGAGGGTTCAGAGATAAGGAGAAGTAGCTGACATCATTGAGTGAGAACTCGTCCAGTCACGACCTTTTTCGCCTTATAAACCCAGGCGACGTTCAGCACAGCACTTTCCATATGGGCATATTAGGCACCTTTTTTGCCTTCTTCTCCCCTTTTGTGTTATTTTTGTTAACCCTTGTAAGGCGTAATCAAGCGCAACCTGGAGCACAAACTAGAGCACAATCGCGTAGAGAAGCTTTATTAGACGTGTAATCTCTTGGAGGCTCACCTAATGGTATGGTATGACTATTACAAAATAGTAATACTATTGCGAATTAATTACTATTATTTTATAACAAAATTGCAGGAGTTTACAGGCTCTCACAAGGTGGGCTGCTCAAGCTTCACTCACCTTTACTTCTCAAACTCATTTACGCCTGCCGTTGCTGAAAGAAATCCAAATACAACACACATACAGCAGCTGAAAAAAATCTCGGAACAAGCAAAAGTCGCCTTCCTTTTATTGTTTTGCCACAGTTCCCTCAACTTGCACCAATTTTATTCCCTCGGGTTGAGATTGCCTGAAAAAGCTATTTTGAAGAAATGTACAAAAATCGTTGAAACAAGGTTTTTGATTTGTTATTTCTTCACGGAGAGACGGCCCCGACAGCCGTCAGATCTGCCGGAAGCGCCTAACTTCTATGCCTCCGAAAAAAATTGCAGGCTGATTCGCTGACATAGTTAAACATTTAGGATCTCCGAAACTTTCAGTTCAAAGAGCTCCCTACTGGGATGGATTTGTGTTACCATTTGTGTTTTTTTTCTGAGATCATATTGTTGCTTCTTTTATTTAGCGATGTATAACGATTATACAGTAGTGCACCCTTGCGTGCATGATAAATAACTGGTTTAATTTATAATAATTGATTTATATGAATTAATTTAATAAATAATCGATGTAAATCAATTTAGATCAAATGATTAAATAGGTTTGTTGTCGGAACATAATTTTATGGACTGAATTGTATTTATATGTTGAATTCTAGTCCGACATTTCAGAGTGATGGAAGACAAGGAGATCCAGCTCAGTCCTCTATTTGTGTCCGTTTTCGGAAAAATCTTCTTTGCATACTGGTTAATCACGGTGCCCTTCTACATTATGCTAGTAGTCTTCATGATTCATGCTCAAGTTAAGAAGGCCCCCAACTTAACGAGTTCGTTCTATACGTTGTGCATAACGACAGGAATCATCGATATTGGTAAGGGAAGAGCAGTGGGCCGTGAGCCCTTTCAGTAAGACCCACTTTCCCATTTTACAGACACGAAACATCACAAGTGTTGTTTCAGTAACCCTTCTCAACAATTATTTTGGAGCAGTATTACCGCGATGGGGATGGATTGCAAGTGTTTATTCCTCCCTTGGCCTGCCATACGCGTACGTTTACCTCATCATAGCTTGGTCCACTGGTAGGCTCTCTGAGTAATATTTCACGATAGCTCTTTGCTGAATTCAGTTATTAAATTTAGCTCAAATTTCAAGGTACTATGCAAGCAACATCGACGTCATTATTGGCTCTCAATCGTCTCTCAGCGGTTCTCTTTCCTTATCGATATGATCAGGTGAGTATCTTAGCACTGAAATAAGTAACTAAGTCAACGCTTAGTTGCGTAAAGGAACGGTCCGTGATCAGGTACAGAATTTGAAAATATGGCGTCGGGAGGGTAAGGCAACAACTTTGTAGGTCTCGCGGCACAAAATTGTAAGGGAGGGGGCTATAGCGCAATACAGGCATGGTGACGCCTTCTTTTCTCCAGTGTCTCTTCCGGACTCCTCCTTCAAGTCCCACCTTATAGTGAAAAAGCCGTAGGACGAAAAAGCTTGAAAATAGCCACTTGTACGATCGTAGAGTTCTTATCGCGGGACCAGCTAGGCGGATGAGGGTGTAGTGTAGGAGATTTGCTTAACTGGGTACGTACAAACCGGGATCGAAATGGGGCTCTCTTTGGGCACTGGCATATTTTTTCTTCACTGTCGACTTAATCAGAACCTTGTCTATGTGCACACTCATAATCCACTATCTCTGATGGCGAATGGTCGTGGGGTTTGCCTTGAACTAGTGTATTCCCACAGCATAAAAGGCCCTGCAACAATTCTTTGCTTCACAAATGCCATTTTTCCCAGAAGTGAAATCATTTCAGATGTGGTCAGGTCTACGTCTAAAGCTGGCCGTTGCCATTCAGATTATGCCGGGCTTCATCGCTTCATTGCACCTCCTCACTACTAAGGTATCACTGACGCCCACTGGGAGTAGAGGTGTAGTGGTTCACATAACCAAGTAAGTAATTTTCTGTGCATAATTTTCGCGACTTTTATATACTCTGAGGATGTTCCTTTATGTCATGGCTCTCACAAATGTAGATACGCGATCACTAGGATGCCTCTTTCTTGTTGCTTATTTTTTTAGTGAATTCGGCTGACCATGTCAGAGCGTAGACGAGCAGGAAGCGAGCATAGCCAAGTCAGGGCACGTCGTTGAGGAATCCCTGACAGGGGGCTGTTCGATTGTTGGAGAGAGGTGTTCCAGGCGGGCTACACGCGTTGTCTTTCTAAGATGACAGTGCCTTTCCCAGTCCCAGTACGACTCATTAAGAAGATGGAGGTCGAGTGCTTCAACTATTTTAGTATGGCGGTGGCCCTGCGCGTTGATATTACCTCCCCAGCCGACGCACACTGCGATAACCCTATTGGGAAGTAATTCTGGTCGGAGGTTCAAGTCGAAGCTGAGGTCTGTGCGTTTTTGAGCGCTATTCAAGCCTTGATATAATACTGCCCCTGCACAAAATTTGGCAATTCGGTTAAGAGCCATAAGTGGTTTTGTTGAAGAACAATGACCCAAGGTTCTCCAAGGCGTTCCATGGTACGGGTTGTATCCCGGAAAATGCCACGACGTGCCTCAAGCCCAGTCAGGGTACAACATCGCTGTGTCAAGCCCATGGGGGGGCGTACTTTTGCTGATCCTGCGGGAGAGGAGGGGGGTGCGTATCTTGTAACGAACCAAGTTTATTTTTGATATGTTGATCGTTTTTTCTTGGTGGAAAAATGGGGTCGTATTCATTTTTTGTTTATAATGGCCACTATAATGATTCGTGTATGCTTCTCGTGGGATAATACGTTGCAGTAGGTTATTAATATATCCTCCGCTCGCCGACAACTTTTTCGCCGACGCATATAGACTCATCGCGTCGTCTCGCGCGAAAAGAGCCGTGGAGGTGGGGGGGGGTCGTGCTGGACACCAATTCCGAGAGAAGGGAGAGGTCGTACTCCGACCGACAGTCTTGACGCATCACACCCCATGCTCGTACCCTGAAGCCCAGCTGCTGGCGTCAATACTTCGCGCCAGCGTTTCAACTTGCGTCCACAATAGCCGCTTCCGAACGGTCGCACAGCGTTCAGCGAGCAACAAATATTACAAATATCGAGCTAGCGTCTCTCAGCGTCCATCGTTCATCAGCGCGACCGGGAGTAGAGAATATGGAAAAAGGAGAGTAGCAAACAGCTGGATTAGGCGGCGTGAAATTGCAGCGAGTGCAACCGCACTGCACAATTGCTCACAGAATTGTGCGATTTAATGTATGATGTAGTGTAGTTAGACTTCGCGGTTGCTTGCGCCGCTGTTTCACCACGCCTAATCCAACTATTTTACCCTCCTGCTTTCCCCTACACTTTACTCCGGTCGCTGGTAGACGCTGATTGACGCTGACAGAAGCTGGCAGACCCTAGATCAATACATATGCTTTGCTAGCCCTCGAGACTGGCTGGCAGACGCTGGTGGGCGCTGGCAGATGCTGCCGCAAAGAGTGAAACCAACCTAATATCGCACAATGCTGCCTACTGTCGAAAACAGGATTTTTTCAGCACTCATGATATGACCGTTTACTTCACCATTGCTGCTGCCTTCCTGACAACTAACTGCTTATTCTTGACGATAGCTTATTGCTGTGCTTTTTGTATATTACACAGAAGGAATCAAGCTCATTGGAAGGTTAGTAGTGTTGACAGTTTGAGTGCGACAAAATTAGTATAAAACTTCTCGATTCATTGTACTACCTATTTGAGACAAACTACACACTCACCTTCAAGAATGATCTTTGCCATGTGTGAGGCGAATGAGTCCACAGACGCAGTAGCGTGCAACTTTCTCTGCTCAAAGGGCACGATAGCGTGGCTGTCGGGTAGTAGTACCAGAGAGCCGTCTCCCGTACTCCACCCCCGCTGTCCTCAAGCTGCAGCACCACACGCGATTTTGTGTGGAGGGCGAAGATACGTGGACGCTACTGCAGCTGCAGACCCATTTTCATCGCAGATGGCAGCGGCCAGGACCCACGGAGGTGAGTCTACAGTTTGTCTCAGATCATTAGAGGCACATTACACGATCAGATGTTGAAGCGACCACATGAAAGGAGATATAGACCGTCGGGGACGTTTTCAGACGCCAGTTGAATTTCTGTCTCCCATTCTCAGAATGAGCAGTGAACAAAATTGCGAAGGTTTCTCCAGAAGTTGCCCACCCTTGACAAGCATTAGAGGCAAGCTACTCCTTTTGTACATTGATGGTAGGAAGTCGATGTAATATCAGCAAAGGCAGGAGCTCGATTCCTTGGTAAGGGTGCCATGGTAACATGAACAGCAAAACAGCATGTGCTTCCATCATAGGTTGGGAAACCAGAAGCAGTAGTATGGCCAATGACGATTGTCTGAGT